TATACAGATAGATGAGCTGAATTTAAGTAACTTGATTAAGATCATGCTGAAGTAAAATAGTAATGCTAAAGTTTGACCCTGGCTTTTTCAAATTTAAATGTTTTCTGTCTTTGGCCAGTGTTAAACTTTTTTTTTTTTTTCAGTTAAGTGATTTTATTCTCATGACTGTAGAAAGAAAAAGAGTAGAATTTTGCTAAGGAGTGGAATTTTAATAAGGAGTGGAGTTTTGAAAAGGAGTAGAGTTTTGATAAGGAGTGGAATTTTACTTTTTAAAAAATTACGTTTGAAAATATGCTTCTATACAGAACCAGAACTGTGTTCAAATTTTGCTTTTTATTAGGTTAAGACTTAACCAAAAATAAAACTTATACATCACATATTGTCTTTTTAATAGAAAATGCTTTATTTCTATCAAACTGAAAAGTAGGATTCATTCTTCAGATGAGGTATTTACCAATAACAAATTGTATTAGTCCATTTTTATGCTGCTATGAAGAAATACCTGAGAATGGGTAATTTATAAAAGAAAGAGTTTTAATTGACTCACATTTTCTCATGGCTGGGGAGGCCTCAGAAGACTTACAATCACCTCCTTCTTCACATGGCAGCAGGAGAGAGAAGGGCAACCAGGGGAAATACCAGACATTTATAAATGCATCAGATATCATGAGACTACTCACTTTCATGAGAACAGCATGGGAGAACTGCCCCTGTCATCTAATCACCCCCCACAAGATTCCTTCCTCAACACATGGGGATTACAATTCAGATTACCACTCAAGATGAGATTTGGGTGGGGATATGGAAGCAAACCACATAATTAATAATGCAAATAACTAGATGACACAAGAAGATTAGTGTTATAATCTAATCAGGCTGCTGTAACAAAATACCATAGACTAGCTGGCTTCTAAAGAGCAGAAATGTGTGTCTCACAGTTCTAAGAATAGAAAGTTCAATACCAAGGTGCTGGCAGATGCGGAGTCTGATGACTGTCCAATTCCTCGCTCAAAATGGCTGTCTTTTCCCTGTTTCTTTAGATGGTAGAAGGGAGATTCAAGGGGTTTCTCTGGAATCTCTCTTATAAAGGGAGTAATCCTATTCACAGTGGATTGTACCCTCATGACCCAATCATCTTTCAAAAGCCCCACTCCCTAATATCATTGCATTAGGGGTCAGGACTTCAACATGTGAGTTTTAGGGAGATACAATAACGTAATGTACATCAGCCAGACTGCAGATACTTTGAATTAAGCAAATAAACCAAAATCAAGATGGCTGACAACTGGTGCTCAAGGAAAAACACTTCAACTCATAGGAAAAAGACAAATGCCTTCTGGGAGATTTCAAAGAACAGTATACTCAGAAGATAAATTGTTATTTGCATTTGGCCATTCTCTCATTGCTATAAAGAAATACTTAAGAGTGGGTAACTTATATAAAAAGAAATTTAATTGGCTTGTGATTCTGCAGGCTGCACAGGAAGCACTGTGCTGGAATCAGCTTCTGGAGAGGCCTTAGGAAGCATACAAGCATGGTGGAAAGTGAAGTGGGAGCCAGCACATCACATGGTGATAACAGCAGCCAGAAACAAAGAGAGAGAAGTGTGGGAGAGGTGCCACTCTCTTTCACTTTTAAACGAGAAAATCTCCTGTGAACTCGGAGTGAGGGGGATGGACCAAGCCACTCAAAGGAACCTGCCCCCATGATCCAGTCACCTCCCACCAGGCCCCACTTCCAACATTGGGGATTGTATTTCAACATGTGACTTGGACAAGGACAAATATCCCAACTCTACCATCGTTGAAATAGGAATCTGCTTTCAGTGTGAGAGGGGTTCACAGTGAATTAGAACATACCTTCTTAAGACCGCTTTTGGAAGATTGTTTTTGTTCTTTGAACTAATGCAATTTTTCTTGTATGGTTAAATTTGAATAAACTTCACTCACTCCTTCATTCGTTCACTTGTTCACTCATAAATCTATACGTTGATATATACATAGATTTACTTGCCAACTCAAAAAAGCCTTATTACCAATTCTGTCCTCCTTAAATAACAACTACTGGGTACTAAGTCTATGAAATCAGAGAAGAGAACTGCATGGGCTCCACCCTTGAAGAACTCCAATACCCAGGAATATGTGACAAATGCAGGGAAGGGTCAATACTCTTTGTCTTGAGACTGTAAATATATAAAAATTTACTTGTCAATTCAAAAATAAATTTAAAGAAAGCATTGAGTAAGAATAAGATGCATATCTTTTCTAGCATGAATGGGTAGAGAATTCCCTTAAAGGTGGTGCGCATAAAGAACCACCATCTGGGGAGCTGTGGCACAGTGAAGAGAGCCAAATGAAGAACAGGAGTCACTACTTACTGTAAATGCAGCGTAAGTCTACACAGTTTAGCAAGAACTATTTTTAATTTCTTTCTAAAAACTTTCAGAAGTGTTAGTCTTGATAGTTAATTTTAAATGAAAAGTTAATAGAAATATTAAGTCTCGGCCTCATTTATATTTTTTTCTAGTAAAGAGCTCACAATCCGAAAGTGTGCTAGGTGCCAAGCTTACCTGTAAATCAATACTTCCATGAACAAAAGCAATTGTAAGACATGCAGTTTTTAAACAAACCTAATCCACATGAAAGATAATTTTGGATAATTAAAATTATAAAAATTAACCTCTTTCTGAATCTTGTTTCATTTATTTCCTAAATGTTACGTTTTCTTATCTTCTTCAACATTATTCATTAAAAGCAAAATACCAACACATAAGTAAAAAGAAACTGATGCAAAATGGCAGGTTAATTTTTATATTTTGAATACATTCTTTTCAGAACACACAAATCAGTCTTGTCAAAAATAGCCTTGTAATTGGACCTATGTTAAATGCAATATTTTAACTTTTCAGTGGTTAATGAAAGACCATAAAGAGTATAGTAGCTACTGAAGAAATAAATCCTTTGCGTAGTTGAAAGCTTCATAGCCACAGGGTTACACAGTAGAAGGAAATTGTAGACCACAGAAGAAATTTCCATTTATTTACTATAATACTGAGGACAGAAGAGAAAAATCTTTAAAAGAGGTTATAAATAACAGCCCAGAGTAAGTCACAAACAGATGAATAATAGTTAACTTAGGGGCTAAGCTATAATGGCTGCTGTCCATCAAAAGAGTGTGTAAAAACTATGCTATTGAAAAAAAAGTAATATGTTTAAATAATTTATGGCATGTAAACCACATGGTGACCCTTTGTAAGACAAAATACAACTAAAAAAATTTTAAAGGTTATTTTCTTTATAGTAATGACTGAAATACTTTCAATGGTTTTTTTTAACAATATTTATTGAATTTGCTTAGAGTTGGGATGTGCTTTTTACTCTATCACATTGGGTGAATCATTACTTTTAAAAGTATCAAGAAGTATTAAGTATACATAAAAATTAAACTTATTATAAATATATGTGGAAAAACTTGGGTTCTTCTTTAAAATGTTCTGTAATATTATAAAAATTGCACTGGGAAACTCTGCTTTTCTCTATTTAACTAGAGAAAGTCACTTTTGTCTGTTTAAGTCCTTGACTGTATTCTTTTTCTTCCTTTTCAACAAGTCAACATAAAATTAAACAATTCCATTAGACATTGAATAAGAACATATAGTTTCTGGTATCTGAAGTCCTTTGGTGCTTTTTGCTACCTTAAGTTCCACTGTCTTCCTAGTGAATTGGCTGTGCTATGGCATGGCCTGTCTTTCAGTACAAAGTGGTTTAAGGAACCAAAACTCAGCCTTTCCTGGAACATGCTTTTGACTGGAGCAGGAAGATCACTGTATTCCAGAGGAAGGAATATTACTATCATTGGAATCACCACATCTGTGGTTCTGTTTTCTTTCTTCAGCAAACTGTGGTTAATTTTTGCTTAGGAAAACAAATACACATATTGACAAATTTTCTATTACAACTTAAGAATATTGGTTTTACATTATAAAGTGTTACACGAATGCATATGAACTCATTGATCTGAATGCCAGTTTTGAGAGGAACTTGAACCTTATCTATGAGTAGTGACAGAACTTTATACCATTCTTGGCAGATACATCTGTGCCAGGATTCCCTTATCATTCAAAGACTAACCCTATTAAAGTCTAAATTTCAGGTTCTCATTTGCAAGGCAGGGATTTGGGAGATGTGTTAGTCTGTTTTCACACCACTGATGAAGACATATTTGAGACTGGGCAATTTACAAAAGAAAGAGGTTTGATTTGATGTAAAGTTCCCCTTGGCTGAGGAGACCTCACAATCATGGCAGAAGGCAAGGAGGAGCATCTTACAAGGATGGCAGCAGGCAAAGAGAGAATGAGGAAGACGCAAAAGGGAAAACTCCCGATAAAAACCATTGGATCTTGTGAGACTTAGTCACTACCGCGAGAACAGTCTGGGGAAAACTGCTCCAATGATTCAATTACCTCCCACAGGATCCTTCCCACAACATGTGAGACTTACGGGAGTACAATTCAAGATGAGATATGGGTGGGGATACAGAGCCAAACAGTATCAGGAGACACTGATAACTTTAATCCTGGTTCATCTCTTTGGTGACCCAATACATTATTAAGTTACATTTAGCTTTTGGTCTGCCAAAAATAATTTGTTTCCACTGATAAAGTGAACTTTAACATTTTTAAATAGTTGTAATCAGTTTAGAATTATTGCTACAAAACATCAGCTAGTTTTGATCTTGCTACATTTGTCGAAGAAGAATAGATTGCAGCTACAGGTGGGCATGATTTGGATTTGTGTCCCCACCCAAATTTCATGTTGAAATGTCATCCCTAATACTAGAGATGGGGACTGGGACTTTTTTTTTTTTAAATTGTTGTTGTACAAAATAAAATTGTTAATTCTACCTTTATTCTTACACAATTTGCAGAATAGAGTTGAAATGATTGCTATAGGTTTTAATGTTGGTAAGAACTGAACTATAATACAACTGAAATGCAGTGGTGAGCTAAGCAAGTACATTTAAAAATGAAGTCACAGACATGATTTTTCTATACATTTTTTTTGTTTGAAGAAAATTATGATAAAGTCAGCAAGCTGTCACAGATGAAAGAACAAATAAAATAGGTGGCTTGGATAGTTAAGATGAGAAACAAAAATATCTGTTTAGAGTTAAAAATGGACAGAGTGGTTTATTTTGCAGCAAAAAGAGAAAACCGGGTGGTGGATGGCAACTGATGGACAGGAGAATGCTCAGCAACATTTGCTCTTCCAGCCTGTCACGCCTCCTCCACTGCTGATATCTACATTTTCACTATTGGGCTTTTTTACAGGGGTCTTTCGAAGGATATCTTCAGCTAACGTGAGGAACGCCTTTTCGATGTTTATATTTGCTTTTGCACTAGTCTCAAAAAACCTAACACCATGCTCCCTTGCAATCTGTTCTCCTTTTCTTTTAGGTACAACTCTTTTGTCATCCATGTCACATTTGTTTCCTAGTAATATTCTTTCCACATCTTCATTGGCATGCTCATCTATGTTTCTAAGCCATTTGCTGATGTTTTCAAAACTTTTACCGTTGGTGATGTCATATACTAGCATGATACCCACTGCTCCTCTGTAGTAGGAGGTTGTGATGGTGTGAAATCGCTCCTGGCCTGCTGTATCCCATATCTGTAGCTTTTTCTTTCCTTGTAACTCAACTGTTTTAATCTTGATGGGGTTTTTTTTATCCCATTATCATGGGATCAGTTTCTCATGAATGTTTTAGCACCATCTCCCTAGTACTGTCCTTGTCATTGTGAGTTCTCATGAGATCTTGGTACTTAAAACTGTGTATCACTTCCCACTTCTCTCTCTCTTGCTCCTGCTCCCACCATGTGAGATGACTTGCTCCCCCTTTGCCTTCCTCCATGACAATAAGTTTCCTGAGGCTTCTCCAGAAACTATGTAGATAATAGATTTATGCTTCCTGTAGAGCCTACAGAACCAGGAGCCAATTAAACCTCTTTTCTGTATAAATTACCCAGTCTCAGGTATTTCATTACATGTATGAATGACTACTACGGGAAATTGGTAGCAAGGAGTAGAGCAAGTACATGGACTTATGCACATACTAGAGCCTAGAGCAATTGGAATCTGTCAAGCAATGACACATATGTCACATCTGGAACTTGGAAGATGGCTGAGATACAGCAATAGATCATGCACATTTGGTTACTGCACAGCCCAAAGACAGATAGCCCAGGACTAACATTAGAATAAGGCATAACACGGGATAATTTTCTTTCCTACTAACAAAGGATTTGGACACAGTAATGTTTTCTGTGGGCTCATAACATACTCAAAATGCTCTGCTGCTCCAGTTCCTCTAATTAATTGCCCCAATTGTTATTTAAATGTAATTTTCATATACAGATGCTTCTCAACTTATGATAAGGTTTTATATTTCCAGGAAAACCAATCGTAAATTACAAATACTGTTAAGTCAAAAATGCATTTAATACACCTGACATAATGAATCTCATACCTTAGCCTCATCTCCCCTAAAAGTGTTCAGAATACTTAAAATAGTCTAAACTTGGGTAAAACTAACACAGACTATTTTATAATAATGTTATAAAAATTTGAATCAAAATTCAATATTCAAAGTAAGATTTGTATTAAATGCATATCACCATAGAAAAGTCAAAAATATCATTAATCAAAGGAAGTACCAGAAGTTAGGGACCATGTGAAGTGTATTTAAAGTGTATAGTAAAGTTGCTTCACAGAAGACAGACTTCTATGACTTTTGACTTCCACTTCAGTTCTCTCATATTTTTGTCTTCAGATTTGTTCATTTACCTCAACATAATATGTGAAGGCTCCATAAAACATCTCATATTGATTTTTCCAAGATTGCCTTACTTGGATGTATTTTAAAGCTACATGGCACACACATGGTTTATTATGCCTGAAAAATAAATACACTTCTACCTCGATTCTCCTTCCCAAAATATAAGTCCTTTTGCTAATGTGAAGATGAGTTGTTAGCTGTGTGTATGTTCACTTCACATTCTTAATATAGAGCATTCTCTCAATGCTCTTTGTACTTACACTTGATAGTAATGAATAGTTCCATCCATTTTACAAGTTGATCCTCCCCTGAGTGCTTTTAGCAAGCCTTGACTTTAGAGAAAGTAGACTTGATTTAATGGATATAGAAGCAAGGGACACAGAGAAGTTAGAGAACAGGTTTCTAAAAGAGACTACAATTTGCCATTTTGATGTTTATCTGAATAACTACTTCACTTTAGTATTATCAGAGAAAAAAAAGCACTTATTGAGCGCTACCATAGCATTTTAACTAATCATATCCCTTCAGTATTTTTTAAATGTATAGTGGCTATTCAAATCTATAGAATGAGCCAATCTATTAGGAAATATGAAATATAGAATTAATGGACTTACTAAATGTTTTGGGATTGCAGTTGGCCTTTCTATGCTGGCCTCCTCAATCTTAAGTAGTTCCTTCTTTAAAAAGATTTATCCTGGTATGTTCAATTATAATATAATTATTTATATTTTTTTCTGATAAATCTCTTTTTCAGCCATAAACACATATCTATCATTTTTGTTTTCCATTAAAAGGACAGTAAATGGCACTATTTTAAAAAATGTCTAAACCCAAATCTTTAAAACGTTGCTCAAAGATAGGGTCTAATGTCACTGTGACAGCTTTTATGCAACAGTAAAGCATTATCATTTTCTACCTCATTTACTCCTTTAGAACACCCTGACATTAGAAAATAACTTCACCCAGCAAGTTAATTCATTTAAGTACTTGGCAGGCCATAGGCAATTGACTCGTCTTGGAAGACCCATTAACAGAGAACAGTGTTCTAAATCAGACTTGCTGGGTCGGGGGGTGGGGCACACTGAAGTTATTTTATGACACAAGATGCTGAAAGTTAATACCTGTCCCAAATTTTCCAGGTGAGAATGAGCTTATCTATGGCGTAGGCTACATAACATTTTGTGTCTCAACTGAGCACTTGTTCATGGACTTAAGCAGGAAGCAGGATAGCAAATCCATAAAGCAGGGGAACTGAAATTAGGCAAATGTGGGTTTTGGTCTTGATTCTGCCACATAAATGGTGTAATATTTGGAGCAAGGTTCACAGTTTCCCTTAGCCTGTTTCTTTCTCTGTAAAGTGTAAATCATCGTTTGACAAGTATGCGAGAAGTACAACACATAGGGAAAGCATTAGTAAAGTGTTCAACTATGAGACAATCACCTTAGCTTCTATTGATATTTTCATTACACCTACTATTATTATTTGACCTTGGGAAAATCTCCTTATTGATCTAAGATGCAGTTTCTCTCTGTGAAATGGAATTACAACACCACGTTCATAAGTTATAGATGTGTGTATAAGTGATGATTAAATGAGCTCATAGCTTTACTTAAGGAGCTCTCTGATAATCCTTAATAATAGATATTTATATTTTTAAATACCAAAAAAGTATTTAAATATTATATTTAATATTTATATACTTAATAATATATTTAATATTATAAATATTATATTTAAATATAATATTTATAATATTAAATATATTATTAAGTATATAAATATCCATTATTAAATACTTAATAATGGATATTTATATTTTTAAATACTAAAAATACTGAATACTAAATGCAAACAACACAGAACAAAACATTGCTTTAAAAGGCTGTGGATAGTGATAGCTATAGCAATGACAAGTTACCCTGAGACTATTGGCAGGCACAGGTTTGGAAGTAATACAGATTAAGTTTCAAATCCCAATTTTATCATTTATTTACTCCCTGTCCCTGGGTAAAACACTAACCTTTTCACCACGTCTTACTTTTCTCATCTTAAAATGAGGAAAATGTTACTTTTCCATAGAAAGACTGTGAGAATGAATGACAGGATAGATATGTAACAAAAGTTTCACACACATAATTAAAATAAGAAACAGGATAACAACAGCGGACATTTGTGGTACACCCATTATTTCCCAGATACTATAGTAATTAATTAACATAAATTCTTCACCACAACATGACCATGCACTGCATTTTATATATGAGAAAACTAAAACATAAAGAAGGTTTATTAATTAGTCCAAAGCCACAGAGCAGGTGGTATGGCACAAAAATTGAGTAGGCACTCAAAAACTAATTATTGTTATTGTACTCCCTATCATAATATGAACACCTCATGAGGATTGGGAGAGCACTAGATTTTGTGTATATTGAAAAGATCACTGGAAGGACTCATGCCTCATTATCATCTTGTTCTTCCACTAGAGACTATGAAATTAAGTCATTCTAACTTAAAGCTGTTGGAACTAAATTATTCTGAGCCTTGAAAGCAATGTGGCTATGTGGCCTGAGTCAAGTAGCATGCAGTTAAAATTTACACCCTTTTTTCCCTGTTAATTATTAGGAAGATCAAACAGCTCCAAATATAAGACCCTTAAAGTCACTACCCCTCCTTACAGAGCAATAAGGTAATTTCCTTATCATGCAATCTGAAACGGATAAAACTGCTGTAACATATGCACTGGTCTCATGAAAAGTATTGTAACCCTGCTATAATGTCTCTCTGCCTAGAGAAATAAAATCTTGGCTTTTACACTTCAGATCACTGATCCAACTTGTTAGAATTAGGTGTTTCCAGGTAACTACCCCCAAGTTTTGTATTTATATCAACTTTATACTTAATCATGTATTCTGAGTCACATTGCTTAAGGTTGGCATGACCTACCTAATCACTGCTTAAACCTTATAAGACACCCTTGGTAAATAATAATAGCAGTGATTGCTTATTGACACCTCATGAGCTGGACAGTTTATATTTATATATTATCTGCATTCTTTATAACGTTCTTGGTAGTTACTATAATTTTCTTCATTTTTCAGGTACTGATAATGAGACTTAATAAGGATAGATTACTTTTCCAGATTTATGTATCAAGGGATTTGAGAAGGATAAATCCCGGTCTTTCTGACTATAAAGACTACATTTGTTTCACCACAATATATTTCCTATTAGAAGTATCTCATATATAACTATGAACTTCAAAACTTTTAAGAATCAACAATTCAACAAGCAAAGATACTATAAATATCTAAAAGATATGAGATTTGGCTTCTATCCACTAAACATTAGTGATTCTTTAAAGAAAGAGCAATCATAAATAATAACTCTTTAGTATCACTGCCTTAGTTATTTCTGGACTGCTATAACAAAACAGCTGAAAATGGATAATTTATAAAGAAATATTTTTTTTCTGACAGTTCTGGAGTCTAGAAAGTCCAAGATTAAGTCACTGTCATCTGGTGAGGCCCTTCTTGCTGCATGATCACATGGTAGAAGAGAAAAGGCAAGAGAGAACCAACTCCCTCTATCAATCCCCTATACAAGGGCAGCAAATCCTATTTGCAAATTTTGGACAGGACATGTTCAAACCATAGAAATCACATATGATATTGTTATAACTATTGTAAACAAATCAATAGTATTTATTACTATTTCTTTAAGCAACCACTTATTAGAATATGTTATTGTTTTCTATAATAAAATCAATAGTGTTTATTACTATTTCTTTAAGCAACCATTTATTAGCATACATTATTGTTTTCTATGTTATATATGAAATAAAAAAACAAGCTTTCCGCTGTATATTGTAGTTGGAGAGATAGT